AACATCGCCTAATCACTCGGCGATTAGCTGATTGTGCGTGGGTCCCAGAACGAATAATAGCAATCTGTGTTGTCTCGATACTCGACTAACGTGACATTGATCGAGGGGCGGGAAAGCGAACTACGGCAGCAACGGGGCTTCCACTATGCCCTAAGCATCGAGACTGAGGGAGCGAGATGGGCTCTTCTACCACCCATGGGGGGCGCTGAGTATTCCTAAAGGAAGAACTCAGTAACCTTTTTTATCTTGAACCGTGCCTTTAATGAGAATTTACCACAAACACATTACCACCGATGGAAAATACGCCGTACTACAGGGAAAAAAGAAAAATCTGAGTTCAAATAAGTAATAAGTAAGACTGAAAGACAAGATGAATATAGATAATTAAACTGACCTTTCCATAACAAAGACGAGATGCAAACTCCGAAAAACGCCCGTCTTTCCTGGTGAGCCTGCTAGCCTCGTTATTGGACTGGCGACGCAATGCTATGTACTCCTTTCTGAGCTCCATATAACTAGCGCTAAACACAACAGTTGCGGTCATGTCAAGAAAATACCGAAAGACAAATTACTTACAATGGAAATACTTGTATTTTTGCAAAGTAGTCATTCAGAGATCCAATTATTGTATGTGGTCCTACACAGGTCCTTCGCTTCCTCCTTCGTCGCCTACAAATGGCGCAATATCGCAAGGTTTTACCAAAATCTATCAATAAACAGTCGAAAATTTCTTCACCTTTTCTTTCTTTTCGTTTTCTTCCCAGTGCTTTCGCGATGTCCCTTTGGTTTCTTCTTTTTTCCAAAACTCAACCGACGGTTCTGGTTGCATTCAGAGTTGGAAATATTATGTTCACCATCGACATGATCATCCATTGGCACAGTTTTCCCTAATTGTCATAGTTCATCACAGTCGCGGATGACAATTATGGAAAGTAAACAAAAAATTTGAACAGTAAGAAATCCTTCGAGAAAGTCACCGTTGCTCTGCTCCTCTGCCACGATAACTTTTTCACGATCGATCGAGCGTGAGACTTTTGATGTTCTTTTGTTGGCTGTGCGCTCCATCTTTATAATAGCCGCTTGCTGTCTTCGTAATTTCATGAGCAATACGTTCTGTGCATAAGTGCGCCGCCTTCGTCGTTTCGCCAAGCTGTAACGGAGCAATTGCTGATTGAATGCAGCAAATTTTGAACCTTTGGACCAATACTTTCTCTCTTATTGGAATTATGTACTTCTTCGAACAACAATCTACCCAACTCACGTTCTTATGTGGAATAGAAGTTGCTGTAGGAGTGGCACCAAGGATGGACATTCCGCTTTTTTGGGTTCTGGTGCAGGCTTACGAAAGAACGCCTGAAAACTTTCTAATGAACACGAAAAAAAACCTGGTCAACGGATGAAAAAAATGAGGGGGAACAAGAGTGGAGCATAAAATGAATACTACTCGAATAGAAAATAAAGCGAAATAAAGCGGCCTACTTAGGTAAGTCACTGAAAGAACGAAATCCATAGAAGGTGAATGATCACGGGGCTTCAGTTTAGAGGCAACAAAAAGTTTCTGCTTTATGGCAAGAAGAAAAGAAACTCTCTGTGAACAATGTCACGCTCAATCCCGATTTAACCCAGAATGGGCTTCCTGAATCTCCTTATTATTCTGAAGACTTTCAGGATAAATATGGGCATAGCAGGGGAAGCATCAACGCAGCTATATGAAGTAAACACGCTTATCAGTATATCAAACACGTTTTGAGGAATATTCGATAAAGCTCATATCATATATCTCCCCTTTGCTCTCTGGCCATGCATGACTTGAGCGAAATGAGTCAACAGTAAATCTTCTAATACACTCGAGAGAAGTGTTCGTGTCTGTAAAACTGGAATCCGTAGACCCGGTGAGAATGCGTCATGAGAACGGCAGGTAAAAAAAGATTCTCAAACAGCAACTCAAAGGAGAGATTCGAATTGCAAGCGTTATTTTGAGAGAAAATCGTCTAGGAATGACTTTTTAATGGAATACTTACTTCGCACATCTTCCGGCATGCATCAGGCTCAGTAAATTGAACAAACGCAAAAGATCGAGAATGCCTCCCGACGTCTATTATTCCGTAACTAGACGATACTGGTCTACGAGATGACCTCGGAAGTCGAACCTAGGGAAAGATGGGAGAGTGGCGAAACGACATTTCAGTAAATTACTAAATGACGAACCTCAACAACTGTACCGAACTTTCGTGCAAAACGGCCTATCTTTTCTGATGTGCATCCTGACGGAAGGTTATCCTTAAAAAAATTATATGAGAACGTAAATCAAAGAAAATAATGAATTTCATGGAAACTGCTGACCACATAAACAGTGCAATCCTCGATCCTCCATTCTGTTGCACGATATTTCAGCATAAGCTTATTGTCAGGACTACGTTCGATTCGAAACATGTCCGTAATGTTAGAAATACTTTCAGCTGCTTTAGGAGAGAGGGAAGCAGCCTGAAACGCGACCTTTAATGAAAAAAATTAGTCAAGAATCAAAACCTAACAAAAATACCTTCAGCCAATCTTCCTGACTCAGGCCAATTAACTTGATAACGTCAATAAAGGCAGCTTCTGAAATATGTGCCATTTAGGGATACCACAATCAAAGAAAACTGAAGAGGAAGAGAAAAAAGGTACTGACGAGGAGTTCCAGCATCGTCAACAGAGGTAAACAAATGAGTTAAAGGTTGGTTGGTTTTCCGAAGAGCCACTTCTATCTGAAAGGTTGAGCTTACTGCTTCGGTTTAGAAGGGTATTAAGATACTACGAGTTACGACTGGAGTGATAATGCTTGCCCGAGAAAGACGGGAGCAAAGGAGTCAGGTTCAGCATGATTCTAGGGAATACCTTAGTCTTGATAAGTTCTCGTAATCCCTTTGTGCGTCTCCTATGTCGCTTTCTTTTATGACTATCCTTGTTTTCAACCTCAGACGTAGTGTTTGCACTGCATGGCTCAATACCGTCATATCGAGACTTTTTGTTTTGTGGCCCTTCCAACGGCCCTGAACGGCGTCGTTTACCTGGAAAATGGGGAAGTACTGATCGTTTTGCCAACAGAACAAGTTATCAAAGGACTATCCTCTTTCACTCAAGGATTTTTTCACCCTAAATGGAGCCTATGAATCAGCGAGCATCAGTAATCAACTATTTTGTACAAAGAAATGCTTGCAAAAACTAATGAGCACAAAGAAAAAAGGCTCAAAATGAAAACTTCCGAACATCATGTAATAACTAACCTTTTGTGTGATGACAATTCACCATCCGATTCTTGTTGATTGTCAAGAAATTCGAAATATAAGCAGCCGACTTCAGCTGAGGTGTTGACGTAGAACAGGAAGGTTTGTCTGCAACCACACAGATTGCGCCAACTCGACGCACACCAGCAACTTACTCAGCGGTTGTCGTTTGAGTTCGCGAGAAGAGTTTCTTGAACTTTGATTAGCCGGGTGTAATTCGCAAAGGACTAACAGAAAATGATCTCGAGTGGGTAGTGATTTGAGCGGGGAATTTGTGTTTGTTTTCCGTCCGAGAGCCCTTTTAATAAAGCAAAGTTTTCACGTACCAAACTTGATCTCGACGCTAAAAGTCGGGTAAGGCTTCCACAGTGGTAAAGTCAAGTGGTTGTATCAATCCCATTTGAAATATGACCATGGGTCCTAGAAAATCCATAAGGAATCGTAGAACCGTAACGAATGCGTCTTGGCCCATCAAGCGACGATGGTGGAGCTCACCAACCTCCAGAGCTTTTACTCTCCCGTATGAGAGCGGTACAAGGTGAGCGAATCTAGAAAATAACGTATGTCCTCCTGAACCGTTGAAAGAAAAACCGTTCTCAGTTTGATCATAGGGCCACGTAGCACCGCCACATGGCACTGTCCACCTGCGCTCTCAAACAAAAGCAATGAAGGCAGGAAGATCAGATGAATTCCCTCTTTACAGCTGAATATGCACTCCACCAACTCGATCTCTAGTATTCGTAGTTTTAAACCTTGTTTAGCTGCTTCTTTCAAGAAATAACAAATTCTAATAGACAGCGCGATTTAACCCCTTGAGAGACAGATGAGGTAAGCCAAGGTACTTGAATGAATACACTCAGAGAATGCTGTTGAAGGAAAGTGCTGGCTTCTGGCTCTCTAGACCTATTTTATTTTATTCCACTATTCTGAAACCTTGAGGCAGTATTTCTCTCTGTATGATATGAACCTGTACATCGTAGACATGAAATATTTCAAAGAACAGCGAGTACTCAGCAATGAGGTTTGTCGACACCCCTGATTGCTGCATGACCTTGCAGACTAATAGACCAGATATATTGGAAACATTCACGGCGCTACTCGGACGAAGCTTCAGGTATAGTTCATCGTTAAAAAAAGAAAGCGAGAAAATTTGTCAATTTCGAGAAAAATAAAGCTCCTCAAAAGTAGGGAAGTACAGGTTGGGCGATATTACCATGGCGGAATGACATGGAAGTAGAGATTTCAGTTGTTGCAATTGCACAAAGAGCTCACTACATCGAGCCAGAACTGTACAGAACTTATTCCACTGTCGCTATGGGTCATGCTCCGAGGATACACACGGTGCAAACTTCGAATTCATTTCTCGAATTTTCTTCGAATTCATCTTATGGGGAAATCTCGGGAACTAATTTCATTGTGAACTGTGCCTTTAATTCCTCTTGCATCTCAGGAAAGTAGTTGTGACCACTGCTCCTCACTGCAGAATTTTGATCGGGTTGGTAACGAAGCTATGTGGAGCGACCCCAGGTCTCGGGATAGGAGACTATATCGTGGACAATAGCAGCCAAAACTCGCTCAGGGTCGCAGTTGAATCAGACTTTCCGTTTCTGCTGTGCTGAGTCAATCTACAAGTTCTGTATCCTCGCAAGTGTATCCCTGCGGAGAGTGTATGGAGAGTCTCTGGGTGCGGTTTGTATCCTGCACATCGGCTCATTCAGAAGTTGGTATTTGAATGACTGCAAGTTTTTGAGAGACGATTCGGAGCCACTCCCAAATTAACATTAAACCCCTCATTCACCCTGGAATCGCCTGACTAGCTGTCCGGAGCCTATAAGTCTGCCAAAAACAGTAATATAAATGGGCCCCATTCACATGAAGGAAGTTCCCTACACGGTAGCGTTGAGTAGGACCGCTCAAGGGAGGCTACTGAAATCTAAAGGCGAAAACGAGCTGCCCAAAAGGAATAGGATTAAGAGGGCGGTCGGTAGTTGCAACGCATGAACGCTTGCATCGAAAACTTATGTCGAAGATCTGATGATGCGCTCCAGGGCAATCAAGTACGACATTATCGGGCTGACAGAGATGAGAAGGTTGACCCTCTGCAAGA